GGGGGAGGGTACCATATATATATATATGTGTGTGTGTGTGTGTGTTTATACATGTACATACTCTGTCTCTCTGTCTCTCTGTGGAGCGCATGCTTTTGGGTCTGGCTCGAAGACGGGAGGCTTGGCGCATCTTGACATGATTGCGGTATTGCTTGGAAGGTTGTTAGTACATGAACAATATTGAAACTGCTGGCTCACCAGCTAGGCTGCTGTGAGTAACGGTACTGTGAGCTGCTTATATATCTTAGTCCATCTCCCTCAGAGAGGTCCGGACGTGTGCTTGCTTTCAAGCGGAGTTGTTGACGACCCTTCTTAGGAGATTAGCGACAGCGACTGATGCACTTGTGGGGTTTTGCCGCTTTTCAATTCGACCTTTGCGGCGTGGAGGGTTTTTTGGACCGTCGAACTTTGCCATCGAGTGACGGCAAGAAGCCGACTGCTGCTCTTTGTACAGGCAGCTGGGCATCTGCATCAAGTCTTTTAATTTACAGCTGCAAGGATGCAAGATCTTGGCGGCTAGACCGTTTGCAGCACGAGGCTGCTCGCGAGACGAGCAGGTCTGAAAGGGTCGAAACAGGAGGAGCAGGGCAGGTGGGGCTTCGAGGTGTATGCGAAGTCACAGAGTCCAAATTCGACACGACTGAATTGAAAGAGGACTCAAAAGTAACCTGCTCCCACAATGATAAATCATATATCCAAGATAATTTCAAGACCCTGGGACGCAGGGCTTTGCACTGAATGACTCGGCGCCAGAACCACAGCTCTTCGATTCTTATGATCCGGTTTTGAAGCTCTCAGACATGGGACAGTGCGACACAGCCCACCTCACAACGCAACTAGCACCTGCTGGTACCATGCGATCGCTGTGTCGGTGAGACCGCTTAGCAGTAGCAGGACGAGCTTAAGTTTGCAAGTGTGTTTGGATTGAATAGCTTCAGCCGCCACGGCCAACATCCGGTCTTACAACTTGGAGATAAAACAACATGTGTATGACCAGCTACATCGGACTGGTCTGTTGTGGTTGCGGGGGGAATGCTGAATGCGGTGTCTTTGCGTGGCTCTCTCTCAAGTCGGTCTCTTGCAAGCGCAAGGCTTGCTTCTCGTTCTTTTGAGGGGCCTGCCTCTGTACCCTTTGGCAGCCGCCCTCATACATGACCCAGTTTCCCAGTCCCAATTCGCATAGCCCTAATCCTCAAAGCAACTTAGGGTTCTGGGTCCGAGTTGATTATCACCAGCTCCCACACCTGGCCACGCAATCACCGGGGGATTTCCGGCCGTCGACAGGTACTATATCGAAGAGGAGCGCCTTCAAATTTTGGAGGAGTGACCTTGCGATCCTAGTCGAAGCGGCATGTTCGGGGTGCGGCAATTGCAGTCAGCGCAAGCGCGCATCTCCAAGTTATGAGTTCGGGCATCAGCATCGTCATCACCGACCTTGACAGGACGAGATGACGGAGAAGGAGCTAGACTTGGGAAGCAAGACCCAGCGAGGTATCAAGGCTCCTTCGTTGGCACTGGGTGGTGAGGGCCAGACCACAGAGCCAAACGATGTGCAGTTGTGTTGCACTACAGAGTCCTACAGCTAAACTTAACACACAGGAGTGCCAGTGCCACTCTGATTCGCAGCCGCGTCACAAAGGCTCGCGCTCAATCTGCAACTCTGCTGCCAGGTTGAGATGACCCTCCTCGGCCACATAGTCTTCCGAGGTCTGCTGTTCTTTTTGAAAGCGTCGCCCTCTGAGAGTCTCTGTCAGACCTGTCTCCGACTGGCGATGGGTCCCGGCTTCACGTGGGCCTGGCCTGTGCTTCACTGCGAAGCGTAGCGGACGTGGTCGAATTGCAGACGATGCCGCAGAGAACTGCCGTTACTGCTGTTGCTTCTGGCTATGGCTGTGGTGATGGTGGTTGTAGTGGTTCTGATTGTTGTGGCTGTTCCGGTGTGGTCATCACCATCGTCATAGCAATCGGTGTCGTCACCGTCAGCGTCATCTCATCATCGTCGCAATTGCCATTGTCACCCTTGCATGCATCATGACCAGCATCGTATAGCAGCGTCAGCGTCATGGTCATCATCATCGTCATCACTGGCATCATTATCAGGATCCGCATCATCAACATTAATCTTCCACTGCACCGCCGATAATTACTAGTGTCATGACCATCTCGGTCGTGTTTAACCGTCAATTTCCTGATTCTACGGTCTGTGCTGTCACGGGAATCGTTGCCAGCATTACAGTATGAGTATGTTTATGCCTGTCATTAGAGTGATGAGGAATACGAGATGATTAGTAGTCGTACTGTGCTGCCATTCTTGCTGCCTTCACTGTTGCAGCGTGTTCATCGCTGCCTTCCTTGCCACTTCAAGTATTGCATCATGCCAAGAGGCGGTACTACATCCCGGCATGCCCGACACTCCGGTTCCAGCCTTTCCAGTCTGTTGCGTCTGGACATGTTGTGTCTGCACACGCCCGAGGCAAAAGCATCAAGATGCAGACCATGGCCTGCCGCATCGGTTCAAAGATCTCCTGTACTCTTGTGCTTCTTTGTTTCAAAGCGCTACAACATGGTGCGAGCTGCATTGGCCTTCGCCCTGTTGCTCGTGGCAGCATCTGAGCTGTCAGAGCTCCCAGAGGACTGCGAAGACTCCGAGGGCTCCCTTTCGCTGCGCCAGCTACGGGGTGAGCAGACACTCGCCTCGGTTTCTGCCCACCAGGCGGATCCCTTTGCTGAGCCGGAAGGCATCGACGACACCGTCGATGAGCCCGTGAAGCCAAAAGTGCCGGTGGTGGAGGCAGACGACTGGGGCAACATGACGCAGGAAGCATGGGAAGAGAAGCAGGGCGGCTCGTGCTGCTTCTCCGCCGACGATCCGAACAATGTTTGTGGAACCTGCTTTCCGACGGCCGTGGCTTCTTTCAGGAATAACTGTGCCAGGAAGAGCACGTGTGCCTCCTGTGGTGGCTCATGGTGCGAGCCGAAGTGCGTCATGGGAGCTGCAGATCCTAACGACAAGTGCGGCACAGCCTTTGAGACCGGCACTGCCAAAAGCGACACCTACTGCGGGAAGTCGGCGAAGAACTGCGCGTCCTGCAATGGGGAGTGGTGCAAGCGTGGTGTGACCAAGAAGGTGCCAAAGGAGGAGAGTAAGGTCACCGCAGTCAGTGCCGTGTCGAATGTTCAGGGCTTCTGCTGCTACCGCGGCAATGGCCTTGCGAAAAATATGTGTGGAGGCTGCGCAGACGTCTCGCAAGATGCAGCTTGTGCCAGTTCGAAGGGCTGCGGCAGTTGCGGTGGCACCTGGTGCCCTGGACCAAGGCCGGGACATGAAAAATAAAAGCAAAAGCCCCCACAGCTTCGTCGGGCCCAAAGAGCAAGGTGCATCAAGGCCTTCAAGGACAAGGCGGACCCCTGCAACACGGCTTACGGCCACGACTCCGTCGCATCCGCAGAGGAGACACTGCGGTAGTGCCGAGCCGCCCAGACACACCTTCGTCATTTAGGGTTTAGGGTTTAGGCGGTTTAGGGATGATTTCAGAGCACCTCCCCCATCTGAGAGGAGTACTGCGCCGGATCCGAAGATCACTGCGCCTCTTGCCATGGAGCCGGGGCCTTAGATGCCGCTTCAGCCGGAAGGGCGAAAGAAGAGACTCTCCTTTGCTCTTGAGGTCTGGTGTGCCGCCTACAACATTAGCTTTGTCACCGGCGAGAAGTTCGACCCCAGCAAGCCTTTGAAGATGCCGAGCAGTGACGAAGAGGACGACGACATCGAGGACGTGGCGGACCCGGGATCCGCGGAGACCATCTCCGACCTCTTCCCCGACGGCCTGCCCTAGGCCCTACAAACACCAAGGCCCTTTTTGATTTTGAAGTCTTGGCACAAGTCCGCGAGCAGGCTTCACTTCTCAAAGCGAGCCCTAGAAAACGAGAGATTGCGCAACCTCTGGGATATCCATGTAGCTTGAGTTCTTACGCAATCGACTGTCAAAAGCAGAGTGAGGTCCTGCGCCGCGGCGATCCCGTTCTGGGTTCCTTCTTCATCAATAGGCCGCCGGGCCGCGCAGCTTTGGGCTACCCACCCAGATCTGCATTCCCTCACCGAATCCTGGTTACCCCCCAACCGGACTTGACAGCGCACAGCCAGTGCACAGCTAACTTTTTCACTGCGTCTCTCGTCTTGATTGGTAGGCCGTTTGATGGCAGCCTGCTCGTGCAGAACACCTGCGTGGAGTGGAGGCTCCGCTGTCACACCGGGTGTTTCCTGACTGCAGGGTTCTTCTGCAGCATTCTGCAGCCACTGCCAGCAGTCAGTGGTTTGCTTTTCCGCTCATGCCGTGGAGGCCATTGGCGTCTGTCCAGCTTGGCAATTAGGGCTTAGGGGTTCTCTCGTGAGCAGCCGTCGTCCATACGCCCTGAAGTTGTGGTCCTGCCTCGGATGATACTGCGATTGGATCGGTTCTGAGGCCTCATCGAGGCGACGAATCCGACAGATTTACGCGAGGTATCCATCGTCATGTTCACACTGGCACTAGACCACCTATACAACTAAGCAGCAGTACGACTCATCACTGTTGATGACGACGACGAAGGCGATGGCGTGACGACAGTGCTGCAGGCCACCACCACAACTGTAACTACTGGTATTAATTTAGAGCATCAACTGCACTCAACACTGGTTGCTACTGCACTCTGGCAACATTGATTGAAAGAGTGTATTTGCAACAGCTGAGCAAATTTCAACAACACAACTGCAACTGTAGAACAACTGCTTAAAGTCAGTCTAGAAACACAAATAAAACTCCACAACAGAAGTACAGTTGGTGTAGAAGACACACATGGAACAGATGTGGTTTAGTAGGATCAAACAACTTGGCCAGTTGCACTTTGCACACAACTGTTCTCCACTTAACAACATCAATTGCACTTCCATGTGCATTTCAATCAAATGTATCGCTCCTCAACTAACCACTACCGCCACCGCCACCACCACCACGACGACGACTACTACCACTCCTGCTCCTCCTCCTCCTCCTCCTACTACTACTACTACTACGACGACGACTACGACGACTACGACGACTACGACTAGCACTAGCACTAG